GTCAGAAAACGTCTTCGAAATTGATCCATAGATCTATTTACCTCTTTTCATTTCTTTCAGCTGTCGCGCACCAGATGTTTAATGAGTTTAGAGGCTTCAATTTGAATAGCAATCTAATTATTTTTCCATGAGCCACACACCATGTCGATGATCAGCAGCACAAGACCATCAGAGATGCAGATCATCTGATAGACAGTTGAGTGCATTTTTGGTGTAGTGTTACCAGCACAATAGCACTGGGATCACTTTGTCAAGGGGATTAAATGGATTTACGTCTCTGGATTAGGATGTAACCAGCTGGGTACGTTTGTGAAAGGAAGTGTATGTGTATGTGTGTGTGTGTGTGTGAGAGGGAAAGAGATAGGGGGCTTGTTTTAATGGTCTCTGTTTCGCATTGTCACAATTAGGACCTTATTCATGCCTCTTTCCTACAAAATAGTGTTTTAATCGCATTTCATTGCTTAGAAAAGGTGCTTGGATGACATTTAAAGCTCCTGTGAGGCCTTTTTCGAGCTTGTGTCGATCTGTGCGACCCGTTTGGACAGAGCTGGAACATTTAAAAGTGTTTTTTTTGCCAACAAAGAATTACATATTTTGAAAGTCTTACATGAAAATCGCAATGAATCATCAGCGTGAAAAAGGCTGTTTCTGCAGCATGCTGTTAAATTGTTGAAATCTGACAGCTACCACGCAGCAGGGGTGACAGACATATCAAACAAATCTATACAAAGAAATCAATCTTCTCCATGATGATCTGGACATAAATATTAAATTCAAAGTTTGTTTAATAAATTGCTAAAAAAAAAATCCTAACAGGAGCTTTAAAGCTGACCTATTATTCAGATCCCCATTTTAAAACTCACATACAGTAGTGTTAAAATGCTGGACACCCATACTGAAAGTTTCAGATCATGAGGTAAATGTATGTTGGAGTAATCCCAGGATGAGTCTGCAGGAGGCGCTAAACAGCTTGTTTTATGAATAACATGGTAGTTCCCCGATATGAAACCAAGAATTTCATGACTTGGCTTCAAGCATCTAAGTAAGCTGTTAAAACCTCCTACATAGGCTCTCTTCTCCCAGCATTGGAGACCACCCCTCCCCTGGCAGCCTTGCAGCGTTCTGCCTCCTGGAAGGCTTCAAGAGAGCTGGCCAATCACAAGAGAGTGGGCACTTGGGGAGGCGAGCCTTAAAGAGACAGTAGCTGAAACTAACCTTTTCAGGCAGAGGCTGAAATGAGGGTTTTTACTGACACCAGTATCAGATAAAAAAAAATGAGTTTCTTGAGCTGTAAATCATGTTAAGCTACTTTAAAGGTTTCACTGACTGACAACATGAAAGGTGAAATTAAGTATAATATGGGACCTTTAATAAAACATTACCATTACATACACTGCATGCCTCTCAAGCTGTACTTAATAACTGGATACGTTAGTTATTGTTCTACAAATCTGATCAGAAATGTTGTTTGATTCTAAATATTAAGAGGACGGGAATCATAAAAACAGTAATATTGCGCAGTAACATGGTACCAAACTAAAGTAGTGCACAATTGTTCAACTGAAATGCAGTGGGAGGCTTTATCGGCTAATGTGGTAAAGAGTTAGCATCAGTCTTTAAGGGTCCTTAACATCATCAAGTGTTGATTCTTTCACTCTTCTCTTCTCATGCTCTCACTTTGTAACGGCCAGATTCATGCTTGCTTTTTTTGAATGTTTTTTTTTTTTTTCAGCAGTGTGCTTTTCATCATCAAGCTAACTGTTTTGTGAACACAGTGCAATTTGTTTCTTTCACAATAAGGTACAAAAAAATCATGGATAAGATTTTCAAATCAAGAAATATCAATCTGTGTGAAAAATTCAACGTTTGAATTTTTAACAAGGAGTTTCTGTTTCAATAAATATATTTAAAAACTGTAAAACTTCAAATAAAAGTCCATCCCCGTTTAAGGCCCAGTCCTTTATCCTAGCCTGATGTTGCTGCGTGTTTTCATAACGACGGGTCTCCATTTGAGGCCTTTTCAGTGGTGATTAGTTTGCAATATGAAAACATTGGGAAAAAGCAGCAAGAAACACAAAGAATTAGATCTACAACATCTGTGACAGATGACAGAATGATAGTAATATGCGTAAGTAGTGTGAGAAAGAAGGTTAAAGGTCAGCAGTGAGTGAGTTCATCCACAGAATGAGCGCTCTGCCTCACAGAGTCCCCTGCGTCATGATCAAGTAGACTGAAAAAATGTAAACCTCAGCGAGTGACAGCAACTCTTCTGCTTATGTCACTACAAAAAACAAAATCTTAGCAAGAGTGTTTGTTTAATTTCTAGTCAGAAATATCTTATAACACATATTATTAGCCTTAGTCGCCTCCACAAGTCCACATAAACATCTTATTAAAGAGACAGCAGCTGAAAAAGAAAGTGAAATGTGCATGTTAATTGGCTTGAAATGAGATGTCTAAATATAAATGAGTCACTATATCTCATCTGAAGACACTTAACAAGTTGACTTTCCTTGCTATATTACTTTTTTAAAATCTTGAAATAAGATAAATATATATTTTTAAAGATTTATTTTGGACTTTACGTTTGTTTATTGTAGAGATAGGACAGTGGGGAATGACATGTGGGAAAGGTGCCACAGGTCGGATTTGAACCTGGGCTACCTGCTGGGGGGGGCTAAAGCCTCTGTACATGGGGTATGCACACTAAACACTACGTTACAGATGCCCTGTAATGAGCTATTTCTGACCAGATATTGAACAAATACACCTGCTAAGATTTGTGTCTTTGCATCTCTGCCTTTAGAGATGGAAAAAATAATTTTCTTAATGGTGAAAGTGAGTGTAATAGTTCTCCTTTTTGGCCTAACTCTTAATATCGCCTGTCCCAAATAAAAGCAGATTGACTTCATAGCAACTGGGGCTATATGTTGAAGTTTTACGGTATCTTTTATTCCTTCTTGTTAAATTCCCAATAGTACTTTATATGACGTGCAAATTCCATAAAAAAGAACATAACAATATTATAAAGACATAAAGGAAATTGGTCTTCCAACAAGAGGGATGGTGTTGGTCCGTGTCATTGCCTTGTCACTTGTTCACAAAACGACGACTGGGATTGTTTTTTGTGCATGGTGTCTGATTTGGAGAGGGGAGCCGGTGGTGATGGTAAGTTTTGGGTCAAACAAATCGCTTGAATCTGGGAAAGATTTTGAAGAGGTAGGATTTTGTTTTTGTGTGGAGGAGATTTGACTTTTTTTGTGCTGCATGGTTTCAGCAACTGGATTGATAAGAGGAACATCTTCTATTGAGGAATATTGATCAAACATTGCATGTCTATGTCTGTGATGTGTGTCGTTTCATTGATATCTAAAATAATGTCTCATCAATCCCCCCCCTTTTTCATTTTCTAACATTTTCTTTCTACCAATGAATTTAAACATGAAACATAGTAATCTTAGTAATCATATTTTGCTCTATTTATAGACAGGCCTCTCATTTGATTGGTTTTGGCATGTTTACAATCACAACCTTTTTATTTCCAACTTCCAGCATGACGTTTACCTCACCTGTTTGCTATAACCCCGCCCACTTTTTCAACTCCACCCACTTTGGATTCTTTACTCAGCCTACCTTATGAGAGGGATTTTCTCTCTACAAGCCAGTTGTCTCACATCTGCACACCTCGACTCAATGTTAGGCCAATTACATAAACTGCAAAAAAGTCCAATCATATGAAGTATATTTGTCTAATTTCACAAGTCAGCATTTGCCTTTCTTACTGCTCCTTTGAGTTGTTTGACTTTAGTTTTTGATCCCTAACCACTTCTTGTTTCTGTCCTTAACTTCATGTCCTAACCTTCCATCCACCAAAAGGTCCTCACTTTATTTCAAAATAAAAGCAGGGTTTAATTCAAACAGCTTGTAAAGTACTCTCATCTTAAGGCAATACAAACATTCAAAATAAAAGCCTCCCAATTTTAAAAAATCAAAATTATGGAATTTCAATCATGTGATTAATTGCAATTAACTGCAGAAATTAAATGAGTAAGCACAGTTAAAAAAAAAATGTAATCATTTGACAGCCCTAGTCGTTACTAGTATTTTAAGCCTCATTCACCTGACAAGTCCAGATAAACATCCTTGCAGCTCATGTCATCGGACATCCATGTTTTTGCCAGCAGATGCATTGGAAGCATTCAGATCGAAGGAATTATCAACTTCCAGCTTGCAATGGAACGCTGCATTAGATTTGTTTGTTTTTTTGTAGTGTATTAGACTCGTTCTGCTTTGCCAATGTCTACACACACACACTGGTCATTACCTTTACCTGTGTGACCACATCACCTGAATGGATCTGTTTCAGTCACAGGACCCCTCTACCTGCTCTGTCACTGCACAACACGGCCCTATTTATTTAAGTGATTTTCTCTTGCACTGCATTTCAGTTTGGAGAAGCTTTTCATTTGAAGACAAAAACAAATAAAGATTCACAGATTCCTTCGAGTCTGCTGAATAAATCAGTTATTGATACTAAAAGTTAGAGCCCATCATTTATTTAAAAAAAAAAGCAAAATAAATAAAAGATATGCAGAGCTGAAGGAGCACCAGGATGAGTTGGCCTCGAGCAACTCAATGCACTTTTTTTTTATCCCCTTACCAGCGTATGACTCATGATCGATACTGGTTCTTCAATCTTTAAATAGGGATGCCGGTTTTTCTTTTATCTGCTGCCAAAAAAGACTTGTTTGAAGGGATGCAATTCTTCAAGGCTGTGTCAAATATTCAGTGCAGATTGTTCAGTTAAGATTCTGTCCTGAACGTGCCAGATCAGTGTAGGCCTGTGCATAACCCAGCATTTCCTCTGCAGGGGTTACCTTAGGTCACTTGCATGATGTTTTTATGCCTTGCATGGTTACCACATGCAACGGCCAGTACTAGTCTGCATGCTTCTTAATGAATGTCTTCCTCTCTTTCTCTTTGCCTGTCCGTGCTTCCAGAAGACAACAATGCCGAAGGTGGGTATTTTTATGTCTTGGTTTCCATTTTATATGTTGTCATGGTTACGGCAACTCAAATAAAGTGAACAAATGTTTAATCATGGTTATGGCATTGATGTTACTGGATGGTAAGTCGTATTGTTCAGGTTATAAAATGTTTTTCTTCAATCTTGGGTATAAACTGACTGATGAAAGGTTTCTCTGATATTTGAAGTGAGTAATGTTTTTGTATTTTTTGTACCAAAAATTGGTTTGGCTATAGTTCTGAAGATTGCAAATCCACTGTGATTAAACATTTTATTCAAATAAAAAATAAGTGTAGGTTTGAGCTTGCCACTCTACTGCTTTCCTAACGGTTTCTTCATGGAAAATGACGTTACTAGCTGAAGGTACAAGCTTTTATATTTTGGATGAATATGTCTTATTATGAAGTAAGCCATTAAAACTGACAGTTACAACTTCTTTACAGACTTTTCAGAATATTATTTATTATTTTTTGTTTGATCTAGACCATTTATTTTGCAAATTTTAGGTCCATATTTTAGTCTATTTTTGCATATTTTAGTCCAATGGGATGAATTGGATTATTGTTATTTTTTGTGTGTTTGGTTTCATGTATAATTAAATCAGCAGGCTAATAAAAGTGTGAACTGTATAGCGGATGGAAAAGTTTGCAGTCAGAAAGCTCTGGAATCAGCTAGTTTTAAGCTAACATAAAGACCTTTCATAGTACAAGTGCCTGTGTTTCCAGGATGCTAGTTAAAGTCGCAGGCAGGTTAATATCAGCCAACACATTTTAAGAACTTCCAGGTGTGGAAAAAAATGGCATCTGAATGCAAGAAGAACTTCTGCATGGACGCAGTTAATGATGGTGCCTGCATCTTATGTTCACAGTTCATATTGATTAACTGATGCCAAGTTTACACAACAAAGATTTCAGCTGAAAATGGTAACCTTTTGAAGCTTTCTGTTCATTTACACCACAATGACGTTTTTGCGGCCAGAAAACAGAAAGTTTTCTAAATGGGTTCCAGAGAGCTAACTTTAGAAAATGGCACCATAAGCATGTGGGTAATCTGGAAATACCATGCTCCTCGGAAAACGGACACTTTAAGCACATGCACGTTAGGGTTCCAGTCAATAGCCATGCACGAGAAGATGGACTACAACAACAATGGCGGACCTCTGAGTTCTGTTTGTCCTACTCATTCCCAGTCGACACTTCTTGAAATGTACTCTTTTTGAAGTTTTTTGAAGGGTACCAACCCCACCTCATTGTAGGTCCAGACAAACATTCATGTGTTAGCCAATTCTCTTTGCTTACACCTCAAAGCTCTTTGTTTCATCAGAAAGTCACACTGCCAACTACTGGTATTGCACGTATACTACAGCGGTTTGAGTTGTATTTGCAGATCCATGTTGACGACGGTTGTTATTGAATGTTGTCATCTGAAAATGAAAATCGGTTCTGTTTTCAGTGGATCGTTCTTGTGTAAACTTGGCCCTAGTCAGTCAAATTAATTCAATACAATTAAACTGTCAATTTAAGCAATTTGTTCTCACCTCTATATAAATATGCACCATGACTCAATTTTCTTTATGACACAAGCGTGACTCACGTGGATACTTGACTTGGTTGTTGAAGTTCCAGGTAACACAGTGTTGGGCAATATTTGTGTGCAGGGATTGATCTTTCATCGGTAGGTGGGATGACAGTCTGTGTATTTGTCATCTCAGAGAGACAAAAAAAAAAAGGTCAACCTGAATATGTATTTCTGAATGGTGACTAGTAAGTGGCTGATGATGCATCGCAACCTGCTCCGGTTGACTAAATGCTCATCACAATAACCCTGTCTGTTGCACCCTCCTCTTCCTCTCCGTCCCACTCTTCCCCTACCCCAACACTCCTCGGGGGTAACACAGACATCTGCTCTGACAGAGATGCCTGCATGTTGGTGTCACACAGCTTCCCATGATCCCTTGTTCTCTGCTGACTGTGCTCTTGTTTTCCTTTAAGGTCTGGCACACCTGATGATGGGCGACCAAGGTATGAGCTCTGTTCCTTTTCTCCCGTCGTTCCTCCATTGTCCCTCTTCTTCTCCACATTGTGCTCACAAATGTGCAAACCTCTAACTCTCTCTCGGCACTCAGGCTTGAAGCTTCAGATATAAGCTGTCATTTCACTTATTCTGAGTGACCTACTTGGTTTCATTCTCCGAGCCTTGTTTTATTTTACTTTTCTTTTTTTCATATGACCTCTTTTTAAGCTCATTTGGCTTTCTTCTCCCCACTCTGCCGGGTGTCATTTCTCCTCATCTTTTCTTTCCTTTTTAATTATTCACATCCACATTCTGATGTTTTATGATGATGTGGTTCAAATGAAGGCACATTAGCATTAAAAATGATTCGGATAGAATGCATGGCGGTGGACTGGATTTTTAATATAATCCTACATCTGTCCTTGTAATGCATGGTTCTTGCTCAGACCGTCTGTTGCATTCTGTCGCAAACTTTCCATTGGTGTGGCGACTGCACATGCTTCTCATGCAGCATGAGAAGCTTTTCTGACTGGACACTTATCAGTGTCTCCTCTCCTTTTTGTTCTCCCTCTTTGTCTGGAATCTGCTTTCTTCATGGAACATTTCATCAAATCTCATAGGTAAAAATAAAGGTACTTCCCCTTTCCATTCTCTGAATTCCTAAAACAATCACAGCAGTGTTTGTGGCATTTTATACTCAATGCTACACAAAGTGTTTTTAAGGTCATTGGCATTTACAAAAAAAAAACGGATTTCTTACAATAAATGAAAGCTTTTCAAGGTAGGTGCTGCTTTCACTTTGCAACTACACGCTCATGCTTTGTCACTTGTTTCTTTTTCTGCTTGTTGCATGGGAAACAATAATGAGACTCATGGGGAAATAACACAATAGTTGCTGTCCTAACTCCAGTGCAGCACCACAACTCAGGGGTAACTATATTCATGCTGTAGTAATGGGTTTTTTTTGCGAGAGGTTTGATTATAGTGTAGTGGGCCTCCCATCCTGTTGGCTGTGATCCTCACCTCCTCTCCCTTTGGGGTAAGTGGACTTCTGATCTTTGCTATTTGACTCTCCTCCTCAGGGCAGAGAGGGGAACCTTGGCTTCTAAGGTCCCTACTGAGCATTCAAGGTAAAAATTTGATTCCTTTAAGTTTTGTAACTGCAGTAAAGCCATCTTTAGCGAGCCATCGTAAGCTTACTGAAGAGTGGGAGACTTGAATGCCACGTCAATAATTTGGAGACTGAGATTAAATAATATGACACAACTTCAATTTTGAAAAGTAGTGATTAACAGACAGTCTTTCAAGTGTCCCACTTGCATTTTTTATTTATTGATTTTGCTTGCTCATGTTGTTGCTTTGACATTTATTATGTTCATAGTTTTAGTTTTGCATATTCATTGAAGCAGTTTTACAACATTTATTTTTCTTTAATATCTATATAAAACATTTGCGTTATGTTAGATGCTACCCTTTGTCATAAACTTGTGAAGTACCACCTGAACAGGTAAGTCTAAAAACTGCCCTGTGGATGTACACTGTGAGGCTTTACATTATGCTGTATCAACATGAAATCATCGATACTCCAATGTCTCACATCAGCCTGTTCTCATTACCATGGCAAACACTGACACTGAAGCTCACAGATGCACATGTCGCCCTTTGGCATCTATTTGAAACCCACTGGGTTTAAATCTAACTTTTGAGAACCCTTCCTCACACATACAAGACACTCTGCTGTAAGTGACGTCATAGAAGCAACTAGAAAGTCCACTGAAGGTTGTGGTCAGGGGTTATGGTTGGGCAGAACAACACTTGGCACTAAAAATCTAGTCCCATCTGAAAACATTTTGTTATGATTTAAATGTTAATAATATTTATCCTAACTTTATTACATGGATGTGATATATACTTGATTGTGATTGGCTGATTTAACATAGAAACAGTCAGCTTTCCATTGCTAGAACAAACTGTTACTATGAAGAGCAGAATTGTTGCTAGGGACACGGCTCTACTCACAGAATCTGGAGGACTTACTGTAATCATATCAATCCATAGAAAGAAGTCTGGTTAGTTTAAAAAAACAAAAAAACTAACCACACCTAACCCAACCCAACCTATCTTAACCTAACCCAACCCAACACAACCCAAACCCAACCCAAACCAACCTAGCCCAACCTACCATACCTCACCCAACCCAACCCAACCTATCCAGACCCAACCTATCCTAACCTTACTTTACCTCACCTCACCACACCTCTCCTCAAATCACCTCACCTCCACGCACCCAACCCAACATAGCCCAAGCTATCCAAAACTAACCGACCATATCTCACCTCACCCAACCCAATCCAACCCAACCTATGCTAACCCAACCTAACCCAACCCAACCTATCCTAACCCAACCACACTTACCCAATTCAACCCGACATAACCTCACCACACCTTAGCCAACCTAACCCAACCCAACCTCAACTCCACCAACCTAACCTAACCCAACCCAACCTATGCTAACATAACCTGGCCACACCTCACCTCACCCAAATCAACCTCACCTCACCAAAAAACCCAACCAAACCCAACTTAAAAGACAGTTTGATGTAGGACTAAGAACACATACACAATGTGCATCTTTATGACAGCTTACAAACCACATCTTTGGCTTCTGTTTAAGATTCAAAAGGGTTGAGACAAAGTGTGGGTATTTGACGACCTAGGATGAGAACAGGCTGCATATTCTTGCTGCTAGAACTCTTAGCTGCAGTGATACATTTCTGATTAAAATTCCTATGAACACAAATATACACCCACATTGGAAACACATTCACAGAGATGAAACCATTGCTTATTATGACTGTTGATATTTAATTTTCGAATCACCAAAGGTAAGTGACATTTTTATAATACTGCTGTTTTGTTATGTTTTTGCACATGGATGAATACAAGTTGGCTTCTCGTTGGCGGCTGGTGTATTATTCTCCATGAGGGGAGGCACAATTTCTCACAGATGGACCAGGGTGTATGTTTAAGTTTGTCAGCTTGACACTGACAAATAATGATAATTGCCACTAGCTGGCTAACATAATTAGCATTGTGATGGAGGTCATTTTATCTTATGGAACAATTTATTTTACTGACCAGTGTTAAGTTAAAAGGAAAATTATGAAAGTTAGTTTCTTAGCATCTCTACAGTCTGTAACACTACAGTGATGTCATTGGTCAAAAGTTGGTACTAGCTGATTGAATTACACTGTGGAAGTGAATGGAAGAGGATGCTACATTGCCCAGGCTGATACCATGTTTTTTTTCCCGTGTAAAAACTAGGGTTGGTTTCTACTCTAGGTCCAACCAAAATGTAACACTATCACAATCTGTTTCAAGTTATTTAAAGAATCATTTTCTAATCTTTACAGTGTAAGAAAGGGAAGGCTTAGCCTTGCTATCCCATTTCTTTATTTAACCTTTATTCAACCAGGTAATTAAACCCAATGAGATTAATATCTCTTTTACGAGGGTGACTTGGCCAAGAGGGCAGCAGTCATAATAAACATTTGCAATAAGTCAAGAGCAAACAACAATTGAAATGTGCAAATTGGTTTGAAGATAAAGTGCAGAAGTTGTGTTCACAGATTACAATTCAAGAACACATCAGGCACTGTCCAATGTCTTGTGTTTTGTTTCATTTAAGATCGAGCCAAAGGCTTCAAGCAAAATGAGCTCTGCCAGCCTCAAGTCATTCTGGAGAATGTTACCTGCAGAGAGGGCAGCAAAACTAGAGGCTCTTTTCCCGAGCTCAGTCCAGACACGAGGAACATACATTTTAAAACCATCTCAGAAACTCAAGGAATAGTGGCTGTCCCTGACTGAATAATGAAAAACAACACTTTTGGCATTTTGTACGCCAAATTCCAGTGGAAGGCATTTATTTCTCTGAAACAAAGATGTCACACTTACGAGCAAATACACTGAAAAATCTGGTGAAACATCATCTACAGACTTACCTATTTCTCTCTTATCCCATTGTAAATATCATATTAGCAGATAATAATAGATTATAACGATCTGTAGGCTCGTAACATGTGCAATGCTCACTTCTGTTTTTATTATAAGCTCTACAGCCACCATACTGAAACACACAGGTTTTTACTCCACTACAACAAACACTAGTCTTACTGTACAAGTGGCAGAAGGAAAGCCACAGGGAGAGATTGAGAGAATGCTGATGAGGCACAAACCTGAGCGCCCTGTTTCTAATTTGGGCCATTGTTAGCTGTCCCTGGTGTTACAGAGCAAAAACCTCGTCACCAGTTATGTAGTGTGTGTGTGTGGTCACCAACACATATCCCCTTTGAGTATTAAATGGAGGAGAGAGGACAGAGCATGTAGTCATTGTCTGCTTTAAGCTTGTAAGAATATTGTGTATTATGTTGCTCCCCCCTCCCCCTGAGGTCCTCCTGTGTCATGTTAACCACTTGTATAGTTTATCCTCTGTTTCATGGCTGCTCCCTGGAGGATGCTCTCGTTTTTTTTCTATTTTTTTTTCTGTGCTGCTTTCAGGCTGGTGCATTGACACTGGCTTCCTAAAACCTTGCTTTGCACCCAGCTGCAGAGAGCAGGGCGTACAGTAGGATAAGTCATAATACCGCTGGCACACAAATCACAGGGTATTTAATTGCTGTCATCACAATAAACTGCCATGTGCAGCTTAAGAGGGAGTGCAGGCTGTGCAGGCAGGCTTACAGGTACAACTGGGCTTTTTCTAAATTAGTGTACTTTCTAATGTAATTGCTTGCACTTTCCAAAGATGGAAATTGTCGCTTTTCATTACACCGTTCACATTTAAGGGGGATTTAAATCCGATGAGCAATTGGAATCCTTCGCTAGTGGTTTGGACACAATGACCTGTATTTACACAACAAATTAAATGGATGCTTAGAATGCTCTACTATTGTACCCTTCTTGTTTTATTGCTTTAACACGGATATAGACGAGTATTTTATGATGCTTTTACAAGGTTTTTTTTTATGCTCTCAGATAATTCTAGCAAAGGTGTTGTTATGGAGTTTCAGACTGCATTGCCGATCCTTACATTCATTGTTATGCTTTGATGAAGAAACTGAATATGAAATGTGATGATTTCACAGCCATTGTAGGAGTTAAAAGGGTGTTGATATTAGTCATGTCCTCACACATACAAAATCCACTGTGGTTTGGGGGTTTGAAAAATACACAATTACACAGTTAACATGTATGATGATTTGTGTGGGTGTATATGCATGTTTGTGTGATAAATCTATGTGTCTTTTTTCTGCTAAATGATTAAAACACAAGTCACATGAGATGCAAAACGATGGCACGGTCACTGTGTGCTCTGCACATGTGAGGAGTGCTAATTAAATCACATGCCTAAGTCCCTTAAAGTTAGATACAGATTTATGCACAGCTCAATGTTCATGATGAAACAAACATCATGAGGAGCTAAAGGAGAGCAGGAGCTATAGATTTCTAATGTTAGATTCCCGTCCAATCCAGGACATGTTGACTTAACCCTGAAGAAAATAGCATCTTGTAAGGAGATGTGCATATGTTTGCATTCCTAATGGAGTTGTATACTTAAGCTGGGATTCAGTGCAGCTCGGTGAGTAAGTGCTGTAGGAGTGTGTTTAGGTCATTGGAAGAGCCTCACTTAACATGCAGTATGTGGGATTTTGAAGTACTGCCCGTTTACTTCGACTCCAGCTCAGGAAGACACTTGAGTCCCATGCTTATTATGCAGTTTCACCATCTGTTTAACAGCAATGGGGGTCACAATGGAACATTATCTCAAGAGCAACAACACTAGATGCTTTAACTCGCACTCTTGAAAACACAAAGCAACACTGACTGGCTACTTTATGCGCTCTGATTATTTTGCGCCAGTCGGTCAAAATGTTCTTTGTAACCTCTCAATGGCTCGTACTGCAAAATCTGTGAACACTCTGCCTCAGTGGCATTATTATTATAACCTCACTTTTTTTTTGAAGATTTCACTGCATCATCTACGTTTATCTTAAAACTCCCTTAATATCTGATGAAATCCAGTAGAGGATGTCATATTGCTTGTTGTTAACTTCACCTAAACAGGGCCCTA